AATCAGTAAAGGTCAAGTACCAGAATTACCCGGAAGTGGCTAGCTCTGTGACATAAATCACTTGGGCTTCTCGGTCTCAGTCTCCTCAGCTGTACGTGGATTGACCAGGCTCTACAGTCGCTATGTCTATGATGCTATATTTGTACTCCCCCAATCCAAATCAATTAAATGAAACTGTGTGAATATATATATGTACATATATGTATATGTGTGTGAATATATGTTTATATATAATACGTTTAGATATGTGTGTACAAATATATTTATATGTTTAGATATGTGTGAATTTGTACATATATAATTTTATATGTGTGTGTGAATATACAGTGTAAATATACATATATATATATATTTCTTTAATAACAACCATGTTCCTCAAGCAATTCATCAATAAGCATTTGCTAAGAGCTCAGTGCCAGGCACTGTGCTAGGTGCTGGAGATACAAAGACAAGCTGGAAAGCCTTTCGAGATTCAAATTGAAAATCCAGAGATGCAGTTGTTCAATCAGGTGCCACTAGATCAACAATTTCTCCGGGGTCCTTGAGACCCCTGTGAAGTCTATATATACAGAAGGTATGTATATGTATGTATGTATTCATGTGTATATATGGCGGATAGGTGGCCCTTGGAGTCAGGGAGACTTGAGTTCAAATTTGACCTCAGACACTTAGTAGCTGTGTGACCCTGAACAAATTCCTTAACCCTGTTTGTCTCAGTTTCCTCATCTGTAAAATGAGTTGGAGAAGGAAATGGCAAACCACTCTAGTATCTTTGCCAACTTCAAATAGGGTCATGAAGAGCTGGACACAACTGAAACAACTGACCCGAACCATATATGTATATGTGTGTTGTGTGAGTGCATATCCTCCATGTATGTATATTATAAAGAGGAAAAGAAATACGTATTAAAATACTTTGAAGCTTTAAGTTTGTAAATGGGGCGAGGGGAGGGGGCGGGAAACAAAACAAAATCCAGATGCCTTATGAAACATTCGCCTATGTTTGAATGCACATTTTAATAAGTTTTCTGATGCCTCTGTTACAAGGATGAGTTAAGTGATCTCGTTGACATGTCATTATCACATTTTGAAGTTAAACAGCTACAGGATCTATGAACTCTCATCACACAGTTAATTACTTCTGGATTTTTCCATGTTCTTGAAACATATTCTATTTATTTAAAAATCCCTGGAGAGCCATGGGCTGCTTTTGTCACCGTGGCATGGCCAGTGGTGTAAAACCTCTCTACATCTGTCAGATTTCTCCATGTGAAGCCTAATTGCCTAATTTCCATTTGAAAGTACAACCCTGACATTAAAACGACATAGACCCACCAATGATCACAATGATTTCCTGACACCTAGAAGGAAAGGGAGGGGTGGTGGTGAATAATTCAGCAATAAATATGTGTACAAAATGAAGCTTTGCCTTCAGAAGGGAAAAGTCTGAATTTATGGCTGCAGATGAAGTGTTCCTTGGGAGAGAAAAAAAATAAGAAGAAAAAGAAGAAAAGGAGAAAGAAAAAGAATTGAGCAGATTAGCATCAGCATGAGTCTACGGGAGCCAGATGGCTCACTATGGAAAGAGAGCTTTCTCCTGCTTTATTCCAGTAACCCTGACTAGCAAGTTACAAGCCTGCTAAGAGAGGAGAGAAATGATCTCATTCCTGAGCCCGGCGCATGTTTCTTCTTCTCTCGCTTGTGTACAACTTAAACTGAAGGAAATTTGGAAAAGGGAGAGTGAGAGAAATGGGAGGGGGAAGGGGAGGGTTATTGAAAAGAATGAACAACTTTTACTCCAACCATGGAGGGAGACTACAGACCCAAGCCAAGACTGAGCAAGGCTGAAACCAGTTCTGATGTCCAGTAAGGATAAAGCAGTGACAGAAGGGAAGGGGAGGGAGAGGAGAAAGTACGTGGAAAATGCCAACTTTTTGGTTAACTTTGGCCTTCTTGATTTAAAACCATGAGAAAGCCTGATTTAGAGCAAAGGCAGGGGATAGGGCATAGGGAGTGGTGGGGCAACGCCTCGTGCAATTCGTTTCCCTGTGTAAGGGTATTGAAGGATGTTTAAGGGTGCTTAAAAACCGTTATGCCCATGTTTCCAGATAGACTGGGGGTATTTGTAATAATCTGTGGGCTGTTACGCCACATTGGAGGGGGCAGGGCATGGCAATGAGAGATATTTGACCAGCCATCTGTTTGGAACTGTATCTCCAAGGCAGCAGGGATAATGGCCCAAGGCATGGAGAAGTGATGGCAATTTATCATTGCTAGGCAAACGGAACAGAGCACAGCTACAAGATGGGGAAGCTCCAAAGTCGGTTTCTAAACCCCAGTCAGGCTTCTGGGCAGTGGGCTCACAGTTCATAAACAAAATCTGCTAATGAAGGTGGTGAAGAGTTTCTGCCAGCAGTAAAAGTGGAACCTTCAGCATAGGGGAGACAGACAGATTGGTGGAGGTTTAGGTTGCTGCTTAAAGTTTATGGAAGACCATAAAGGTACAAACGCATCTCTCCCATGCTGATCTTTCCTCGAAAGTGAGTGCTAACAGACCTCCTTTGCACAGGAGCAACGATTGTTTCAATTTAAAAAGCCAGTCCTTGAAAGGAATGAAGGGGGTCCATGAGTCCCTCTTTGGTCAAGATTTCCTGGGAATCTAACAGAACCATAATAAGGCTGGGGCAAAAAAGGCTTCTTTATTTTCAAAATGGCGGTTTTTTAATCCTCATCCTTCTTGACTTCTGCAGCTTTTGACACTGTTGTTCACTCTCTCCTCCTTTACACTCTCTTCTCTTTAAGTTTCGATGCTACTACTCTATCCTGGTTCTCCTCCTCCTACCAATCTGACCACTCCTTTTCAGTCTCGTTTGCTGGATCTTCTTCTAGATTATTCCTGCTAATGGTGGGGTGTTCCCCAGAACTCTGCCCTGGGACCTCTTCTCTTCTCCCTCTATGCTATTTCACTTGGTGATCTCATAAACTCCCATGGATTAAAATATCATTGCTGTGCAGATGATTCTCAAATCTACTTATTCTAGCCCTAACCTCTCTCCTGGCTTAGAGTCTTACAGCTTCAACTACCTATCATACATCTTGAACTGAGTTGTCCCACAGACATCTTAAACTCAACAAGTCAAAACCACTCATTGTCTTTCCCCCAAAGACCTCTTCTCTTCTAAACTTCCCTATTACTGTTGAAGGTACCACCATCCTCTTGTCACCCTGGCTTACAACCTAGGTGCCGTCCTCAACTCCTCACTCTTTCTCACTCTTTCTTATCGTCCAACATCCAATTTATTCCCAAGTCCTGTTGATTTTACTTTTGTAATATCTCTAATATGTATCCTCCTTCTCGCCCTTGACATTGACATTATCATCACACAGGTAGAAACCCTCATCACCTCAAGTCTGGACTCTTTCAATAGTCTATAGGTTGGTGTTCTTTCCTCCAGTCTTTCCTTATTTAAGTCCATTCTCCATTCAGTTTTCCAGATAATCTTCCTAAAGTACAGATCCAACCATATCACCCTCCTCCTATTCAATAAACTTCAGTGGCACCCTATCACCTCTAAGATGTAAAAGGAAATTCTTTGTCATTCAAAGCCCTGAATCATTTGGCCCCTTCCTATCCTTCCAGCATACTTACACCTTATTCATTCCTACCTACCGTGTAATACACTAACAATGGCCTCCATTCTGTTCCTTAAAAAAGATACTACATCTCCCAATTTCATATATTTTCATCTTCATGAGCTGTTCCCTCACCACCCATGCCTGGAATACTCTCCCTCCTCATCTCTGTCTTCCGGTTTCCCTGGCTTCCCTCAAGTCACAACTAAAATCTACAGGAGGCCTTTCCCAGTCCCCGTTAATGCTGATGCCTTCCCTCTATGGATTATCTCCAGTTTACTCCATCTGTAACTTGTTTCTATGTAGTTGTTTGCATGTTGTCTCTCCCATTAAACTGTGGGCTCCTTTAGGGCCGGATCTATCTTATGCCTTTATTCGAATCCCCAATACTTAGGACAATGCCTGGCACTAGAAAAGTGCTTAATAAACGCTTATCAAATGACTGACTTTCCAGGTCACTGATACTTAGAGGGTGTAAACATTTAACATGTGCATTCCTTCACTATAGCTACTAATGACCCTACCTGCTCAGCTGATTGCCATGTTTCGGTCTAATTTTATTTTCATATCATGATTTGAGGGACAGTATGACTGTTGGTCCCAGGTGGAATCAGTGCTTGGAGGAGAGACATGGACATGTCTTTGTAAAAACAGGCACCACCACCCTCCCTCCCAGCTACATGATACATCTTTGCTAACTCGGCAAAGTGATTTCTGCATCTTTCCTTCTATTTGATTTTCAAAGCATCTCTTGGGCATTGTTTTTGTTCCATCGTCTCACTTTTTCCAAACCAGGGCTGGGAAAGATCATTATTTACTCACCAGATTCTGGCTAGGCTCAGTTTACATCACGTGTTTACTATTAGCTGGTTTACAAACTGACTGCTGGGCCTGGGTCTTTCTCGTGCAGCAGCCCATTTTCAACCACTTACCGAAAGAAATTGCAAACGCTATGCCTTCAGTATCACTGCACTTTCTTAAGAACAAATGATTCAGTCTATTATTAAGAAGAAAGCTTCTCTGCAAACTCTGTAAGGGACCATGGGAAAACAATGCCTTTCTTTCTTTCTAGGAGGAGAGAGGGAAATGAGCCATAACATCTCAAAACATCATTTGAGAGATCAGATAAGTACTTGGAGACTAAAAACTTGGAGTTCCAGTTTTGAATTTAAAATTTAGAAGTAAACTTTCCTAAGCTTGCAAGACTCGTGTTTCATTTCTTAACTTTTACTCCCAAAGAGGAAGAGACAACACATAACTGTTGAACTGAAAAGTTGAAAGGAATTCGTTTTCTTTGCCACTAAAGTACTTGAAAGGAAAAAGCAACAAGTTGGAGGGGGACGGGGAGGTCATAGATCATTGTCCTATTACAACAAAATACAGAAACTTGAGTGCATATTGTCATGGCCAAAGCGACGTGTGTTTGTTTGATCTGGACACTGATGTTCATCGCTGCTCTCCTTTGAGTCCTCTCCCTTGACACCATTCTCCTCACTTGCTGATCTGTCATAGGCTAAAACAAAACAGAGGTGTGAAAAAAAATCAGTCGACCCTCAAAGCAGTGAGCATAGCTATTCCACAGGGAGCATGATGCCGAAACTATTGATAGTCTTTCCTAGGATTTCATAGTATCCTGGGAGACAGAACTTTTTCGTAGCCAAGGCTGATGGGCCCCATCTATGGTAATTCTATTGGATGGATTTGATATCTTGTTAATGCAATATGCTTCTCTTGGCATGGTCTCCATCATCTCATTTGTCAAGTCTTAATTTAATGAAAAGCATCACATTTCAAGATATAAACAGGCTGGCTAACTAACCTGTCTATAAGGAAGGGTAGGAGTTGTGTGGGATGAGGAAGAAGCTGGAATGACCCTGGAGCTGAGATTGAACAAGGAGGTAGGGAGTCAGACTGAAGGAAAAGACCCAGGGAGGAGTTCTTAACCTGGAGTCTTTGAACTTGTATTTTTGTTTTGTTTTGTTTACTATTTTGAAATTTGTGTTTCCATGTAATTGGTTTCCTTTCAAATCCCTAAGCATTTTAATTTATTCATTTAAAAATATTATTCTCACCAGATTGGCAAAAGGGTCCATTCCCCTCAAAAGGTTAAGAAGCTTTGATCTAATCTGAGGTTACTGTGTGGGTTTTCTTTTACAGTTTCCATTAGAAAGGCTAATTTGTGGAATTTTAAATTGATGACATCTCTATTTATTGCTACACAGTTGATGCTATGAACTCAGAGGCTATCTTATTTCAGAAGTTTAGGGAAAGTTCATAACTTAAAAATAGACATATGTGTATATGTTTATGTATATATATGTATGTACACACACACACACGCAAACACACACACTCACACATGCTAATGACTGTGATATGCAAGAACAGCTAGGTGGCACAGTAGATAGAGTGCTGGACCTGAAGTCAGGAAGACTCATCTTCATGAGTTCTAATCTGGCCTCAGACACTTACTAGCTGTGGGACCCTGGGCAAGTCACTTCCTGATTGCCTCAGTTTCCTCATTTGTACAATGAGTTGGAGAAGGAAATGGCAAACCACTCCTATATCTTTGCTAAGAAAACACCATGAGATCACAAAGAGTCAGACACGACTGAAACAAGTGAACAAAACGTAAGAGAATATGTTACTGCACAGAAGAGATATAAGCATAATGCATTGAGAAATTTGGGTAAACAGCTGACTTTGAGCTGGGGGTGGTGTGTCAAGGAAAAGGTAGCACCTGACATGAGCTCTGAAGTGAGGAAGAACTTCAACAGGTGAAAATGCTGCTTCCTCTCCTCCCCTAAATTCTGCTCACCAGGCATAGTCTGAGCAAAGGTTCAGGAAGAGGGAGAGAGCAGATTAACAATAAGACAAATGACAGTAGTTCATTTTGGTTTCAACACAAATTATGTGAAGTGTGTATTTGAGATAAAGCTAGAGTCAGATTGAACAGGGACATCAATGCAAAGATTGACAGTTTATACTTTATTTAGTAGGTAAAGGGTAGCCATTGAAGGTTTTTGAGGAGAAGAGTGACCCAATCAGAGAGGATTAGGAAGGATGGATTGATTGAAAAGGGAATAGAATGGAAGCCAGGAGATCAGTTTAGAAATCTAAAGGGTGCAGTGTCTGGAGAATATAGTAAGAACTTCCTTGTTGTTTGTCCTTCATTCTCAAAAAGGACTGTGGCATCAGGAAGGTGATGCCATGACTTGTTAGTTAATTGGATTTAAGTGAGGGAAGTATGCAAAGTCACCAGCCTCACTTACTCCTCTGGAGCCATCTGCGTCCAGTAGCCAAATATAGATCAGGATGACTGGAGATGGCCCTCAAGAAGAACTTCCTTACTTAGAGTAAAGAAGACTTGTCTTCTGATTCTACCTCAGACACTTACTCGCTGTGTGACCCTGGGCAAGTCATTTAACCTCTCTGAGCCTCAGTTTCCTCAGTGGTAAAACTGAGGTGATAGTGCATCTACCTCCTAGTGTTGTTGTGAGGATCAAATGAGTTAACATATGTGAAGCTCTTTGCAAATCTTAAAGCACAAACGCAAAGTCTTGATGGCCCCAAATTTAAGAAAGTTGCAGTGAGAGAAGAATGGATACTGTTTCCAGAGATTTTATGAAGATGGAAACAACAGAACTTGGCAAATGGAAGTGTGATTGTGTGTGGTATGACGGAAGGGTCAGAGAGGGTTCCCATGTTCTGAGTCTGATTGGTGAGATCTAGAATGGTGATGTCATCTATGGGAATAAAGAAGTTGGAAGGGTAGGCAATGAGTGTAGCTCATGAAGGGTCAGAGCTAAGCAGAGATGAACAACCAGCCCCCTCAAGCCTACACTCAGAGGGCCCTTTTACAGTTATAACTATAACCAATATGCTGACAGCATTATCACCGTCATTCTATTGTGAAGCAGAATCTTATGCTATTTAAAAGAGATAGGAAGGACTGTGTGTATTGTTTTTTAATCACAACAAATAAAACACTGTAAAATACATCGGGAGGCAATTTTTCCTATTGAGAAGACTGGTCTCATATTCCCCTGGCTTGTCAGTAATTCAGTACCAGACAAAGAGATTTGGCTTTCCTTGTTTTACTTAACATCTCTCTGCTTCAGCTTTTTTATTTTATTTTGCAGATGTAAAACTGGGATAATGGATGCTTACTCTCTACCTCCCAGGAATATTGAAGGAGGAAAGGAGAGAACATATAGGATAATTGTCCCACAAAACCTTCATGAGGACAAGGAAATTAGCTGCCCTTTATTTTCTCTCTTTGATTTCCCCCCAAACCACAGGGGGTGCTTAAAACAAATAAGCAAAGGAATACATCAAGTGATAAGAACCTGGAGTGCTGAACTCTAGCTAAGGAAGGAAAAGAAACCAGTTTCCTTACAAACCAAGAGATTTACTCCTTTATTTACAAGTCCTGCTCTCCAAAAGCACAATAATTCCTTTATTCCCAATAGTGACAATCGTTGTTCTGGTGAAATGTGTTAAAAAGTCTTTAGTAAGTCAGTCAACAAGCATTTATTAAGTGCTTGAAACTCAGTGTTATTAGGGGCAGCTAGGTGGTACAGCGGATAGAGCTCCAGACTTGGAGCCAGGAGGACTTGAGTTCAGATCCAGCCTCAGACACTTGATACTTACTAGCTGTGTGAACCTGGGCAAGTCACTTAATCCCAATTGCCTTGCAAAAGAAAAAAGAAAGGAACTCACTATTATCTCCCCTTAACTCAAAGTTTTTCTTTCATCTTTTTCTTCCACCTGGTTTCTCATGTTCTCAAACTTTGCTTGGAATCACTAATTCATGCTTCTGGTCTCTATAGTGCATTCTTTGCTAACTGGGATACTTTTTAGTAGTTCATTCATATCTTCAATATCACTTTCATTCTTGCATATTTTTTTCTGCAGCCTTTGCATTTCCATTACAATTATTTTCCTCTTTCCCAGTTCCCTTCCTCAGAGAGAAAAACTGAGCTACACAGGATTTGAAATGGAGGGCAAGAATGTCACCCTGATGACAGGATGGAAAGCTAAGCCAACCAGAAAAATTCATCCATGATAATAACCCATTTTCAGTTTTACAATGTGCTTTCCCCACAACAACCCTGGGAGATGAGCATTGCAGATTTTGTTATCATTATTCATAGACGAGGAAACTGAGGTGTTGAGAAGTTAAGTTATGTGTCCAAAATCACACGGGAAATGAGTGTAAGAGCTACAATATGAGCCCAGGTCTCTCTGGGCTGCAGGTCGAGCATTCTTTCCATTATAGCTCATTGCTTCTCTATTTCATCAATGCCAATAGACAAGACAAATAGAACGTGGTTATGATGATGATGATGAAAAACAAGATCCTCTCCAGATTTCTAGGCATAATTGTATGCAGAGGTCATCAGGGTTCTCAGTTTCACTTTCCAAAATGGCAGAAGAGTTTTGCTATTCTCTTGGGAGCAATTCTCATCCAGTTTGCTTAGCTTCCATAAACTCATTGTTCAGGCCCCAAAGCACTAGTGATGAACTCAATAAGCATTTAAGAGCCTACTATAACCAAGGTACCATGTCAGTGAAGAGGATGCAAAGATATAAGTGAGACTTTTGCCCTCAAGGACCTTTGAAGAGATACAACACATTCACAGAGAGGTAAATACAGAATATATAAAAAGAGAAATCCAAAGTTAGTTTTTGGGGTGAGTGGATATGAGAAGATAGCATCTCAGATGAGCCTCGAATGAAGGTTGAGGTTCCCAGTGGTGGAGGAGAAAAAACATCACAGGCAACAATAACAGCAGCCTATGCAACGTCAGAGACGTCCTATACAGACTGTAATTTTTTCCTGGGGGTGATAGGGAGCAATTGGAGTTTATTGAGTATGGGGGACAGGGTGGCATGGTCAGAGCAGCACTTTAGAAAAATCATTTTAGCAAACGAATGGAGGATAGACTGGAATGGGGAGAGACTTGTGGCTAGCAAACCAACCAGCAGGCTATTACAATAGTCTAAGTCAAAGGGCCACACTTGAGGACCTAGAAGGCCACAGGTTACATGCCCTTAGGTAGGCATGAGGTGATGAAGGCCAGCAGAGTGGTGGCAGTATTTTAGGAGAGAAGGGGGTGGATTTGAGAGATACTGAAAAGGTGTTTAGACTTATTAGAATAAATCTAATCCCTTTCAATATTATAGCCTTTAAAATATTTTAAGGTAGGCACTATGTTCCCCTAGAGTCTTCTATTTTCCAAACTGATGTATATTAGTTCTTTTAAATGTAATAGTCCTTCATCATGTTAGTTTCCATCTTCCAGGCACTATCCGGTATATCTAAAAATATAATACCCACAATTGAATATATTGAACTACTAATGACTACTTTTTATATCTGAGGATTCAACTAATTTAAGTATATGTTATAAATAATTATGTTTATAATGTTAACATTTAAATTATAAATCATTCTATAAGTTGAATAAATAATTTCATTTATAATGTTACTTTAATTATAAATAATTG